GCAAGACCATAATCCAGGTTTCTCCATGGGCATTCCCATTGTTTYCAGTGGGAAAASSCCAAAATTCCATCCAAGAGGCACAGGAATKATTGGGAAACAAAAGGAAAAGCAGGATTCCTTAACACAGGGCATGCAAGAAATGGGGCTGAAATTGGGATATTTCCTGATTATTTTCCTTCTTTCAGCTTCTCCCTAATTTTGGGAAGACCTGGATTTCCAAGGACATTTTTTCCAGTGAAAATCCTTTGCCCTTGAAACGTTCCCGCCTTCCCGGAGATCTGAGGCTCRTGATCATTTGCATTCTCCGTATTTATGGAATTAAGGGGTGGAAAACAAAGGGATGAGCTGTCAAAGGGAACGGAACCAACTGGGAATAAAGGAAAGGGATAAAAGCTGGGGAAAGCCTTTCACAGTTTCCAAAAATGGACTTGGAAAAGGAATCAAAAGCAGAAAMACTTCCCAAGGACCTTGAGCTGCTCCGTTCCTGCTCCACAAAAACCTGCTGGAATTTTAAACAGCTCAGGATTGTCCTGGAGTGGCTCCTCCAGGAATATCCAGCATTTATTTCCTTCAGAAACTGGAATTCCTGMTGGAATTGCAGGCTCGGGTTCACTTTCCTGTGGATTTGGGGCTCGGAATGTTCTGGGTTCCCTGACTGTGGAACTGGATGAGCTCTAAGGTCYCTTCCCAAAAGAAATTTGGGATTTCGGTGTTCTCCAGGGTTTAATAAAGCAGAAATTTGAATCCCAACCTTTCCCACATCACAACAGAATTCCTAAATTTCTTCCCTGAGAGCTGGGAATGGCTGAGCTCTCCTGGAATCTTCCAGCAGGGTGGCAAAATCATCCTTCCATATCCCAGCTCTTTCCCAGGAGCTTGGAGCCACAGTGACCACCCTCCCTCCCTCTGGAATGAAAATGGATCCACACAATCGGAGAAACACAATTCCCAGCTTTCCACCCTTGGAAAACCAGGAATTCTCTGTTAAAAATCAAACAGCTGATTGGAATTCCCTGCCCAGGGAATGGGATGACCTCAAAGGTCCTTCCCAACCTGAACCATTCCATGAAATAACCTGGGCAAGCAGCAGAGAATTCCCAAGGGGAATGCTGCCACAGCACCCCCMTCCCTGTCTCCAGAGCTCATCCCTCCAGCCCTGCTGTTCCCTCCGGAGCTCCGGCTCATCCGGAAGAGGCTCCGTGTCACTTCTTATTTCCACGGATCCCCTCCAAAAGCTCCGGCAAATCCAAGCGGAGCAGCTGGAACTCCGGGAGATGAAAGGGTGGAGTTTGGGATCCAAAGGAGCCTTTAATCCCTTTTTTATGGAGAGGGATAAAAAAGGGGGAAATTATGTAAAATCCCTGTGTCCATCGCCATGGAGATGGGAATGTCAGGGGAGATTAAGGAGCAGTGGAAGAATCCAATCCCGGCAACTTTCTGCTGGATTTTGTTGGGAGTTAACCCTCCCGTGGAAAAACCCCAGCAGGAACCAGGGGGCTCATACCAAAAAAAAAAAAAAAAAAAAAAAAAAAAAAAAAAAAAAGAAAAAAGAAGGAAAATGATTGGAATGGGTTTTTTTTCCGATAACTGAGGATCGAGATGGGATATCCTGACACCGACAACACCCCCAGCCCCACTCCAGATCCTTTGGGACCCCCCAAAATCCTCAGCCCTATTCCAAACCTGCATCCCAAATCCCAGATCCACCTCAACTCTGTGTCATYGTCCCTCCCTTCCCAGCCCATTCCAGACCATCTGCATCCTATATCCCAAACAACTCAGGACCCATGTGGGATGTTCTGACTCTCTCCCAGTACTCCCAGACCCCCTGCCTTCCATATCCCAAATAACACAGGGATATAACCAGGTGTGACACACCTGGGATGCTCTGATACCCTCAGCTCTATTCCAGACCCTCTGGGACCCCCCAAATCCTCAAATCCTCTGCTTCCCATCATATCCCAAATAACTGAGGATCCACATGGGATGTCCTGACTCATCCCCAGCCCACCCCAGACCTTCATCCCCTCCGTATCCCCAAGAACTGCAGGCTCACCTGGCACCCTCTGATGTCCCAGCCCCATTCCAGATCCTCTGCAACCCCCACAATCCTTAACTCCTGTCCCACCGTATTCCCAAACAACTGAAGCTCCATGTGGGACCCCCGGGCCCCTCCTCCCCCCCATTCCAGGCCCACTTCAGCCCCTCCAGGCCCCTGCACACCCCCAGCCCCACTCCAGGCCCCCTCTCGCCACTCCCACCGCCCTCCCCGCGCCCGGCCCAGCCCGACCTGCAGCGTGCGCTGCCTCAGGGCCTTCAGCCTCTCCCGTCGCTTCAGCGCCTCCTCCTCCAGCCTCCCCAGAACCAGTCCCGCGGCCTCATCTGGAGGTTCCATGCCGACGCCGGGCGCCGCCATCTTGTACACAGCGTCCCCGCCTGCCGTACAGTGCGCCCCGCGCATGCGCGGCAGGCCAGGCGCACCGAGCGCCGAGCGCATCGATGAGCTACAGCTGCGCGCAATCGATTGGGCGGCGCTGCGGGGGGGACACGTGAAAAATAATAAATTAAATATTTTTAAATGTAAAAAAAAAAAWTAGCCTGAAAGGGAAAATAAGCCCGAATTATCGCGTTTGGTTTGTTCAGGGTACCCCCTGAGGATAGCAGGGCTCAGCTGCGCTAATTAGCGTTAATTATTCGGGGGGGCGCTTTGCCTCCCTCACCCTCTATTATGTGCCTCTCCTGAACATGGGAATATGGGAACATGGGAATAGCGAGGAAAAGAAGACGGGGAAGGGCTGCGGCCACCGCCTCCCCGAGCAGGTGGAGGGGAGTCCCCGCCCCCCCACACCTGGGGGAGGTCCCAGCGCTGGGATTGGGGGGGCTCGGGGGGGGGCGGAGCCGCCGCTCGTTCCCAGCCGGGCCGGCCCCGGGCATGGCTTCCCGGGAGCGGCTCTGCGAGCTCTGGATGCTCTACTTC